GTGTGTGTGTGTAAGAGAGAGAGAGTGTGTGTGTGTGTGTGTGTGTGTGTGAAAGAGAGTGTGTGTGTGTGTGTGAGAGAGAGTGTGAGACAGAGAGGGAGACAGTGAGTGTGAGAGAGAGAGAGACAGTGTATGAGAGGGAGAAGGGAGGGACAGGGTGAGGGTGAGGGGAAGGAGGAGGGGGGAGTTGTAAAGTGGGATTGTAAGGGGGAGGTGAGTTTGGAGTGTTATATGCCAACAGTTTCTTGCTGTTTAGCTGTGGCTATAGTCAAGTTCCTTCTAATAAATAGTGATTCATATTTAGAGTGAATGTGTCCTTTCACTTGACCGTGCTCAGTAAGTCAGGTCAGTTTGGGATGGAAAGAACACTGTACATTTCCTAAAACTGGGGGGAATATTAGGGGATCGATTTCCCCTCACCAGCCGGGTGGGTGGGAGTTGTATGAACACAGATGCAGTCTCCAGGGGTGTCACTGAGCAGACACTTCACCAGGATCCCTCATCCAACACTCACCATCATCATCAAGGAGGATGTTCTCTGGTTTCAGGTCCCTGTGGAAATACGGGAAAGGGGCACAGTGAGATGGTGCCACGCATTACCACGGTGCCCGCTGACAAAATAATCTCGCGGAGAAACTCCGGCAGATTCAGAACGGAAACACGACTGATGCTTTGCTGTTTAATCAATCTGGCAAATCACTTGCCTTCATTTAACGGGGGGGAAAACAAGACAGGGCGTTCCCAAAGGAGATAGGGCGACGGCAGACCTTCCTGCGCAGTGGGGATGTCGGGATAATCTCTCTCACGTGCTGGGAGCCGACAGCAGTCCCGGAGAGGCCGAAACGGAACGAGAAACCGCGCCAAGTGGGATCCCTGCTCAGTCAGAATGTCCCAGTGGCTATGGAGCTTTGTAGAGTCCTTATGCAGTTGGACATGCCCGAGGTTGTCCAAATTGGGAAGGTCTACACAATTTTTGGTGAGTTGCTGCAGTGCATCTTGTAGACAGTACAGGGTGGGGGGGCTGCTTTGTCCTGGGCGGTTCTGGAGTGCAGGGGAAGTGTTCCATGACGTTCCTGCCTTGTCGGTGGTGGGACAGGGATCAGGAAGGGAGTTACTCAGGATTCCCAGCCTCTTGCCCCACTCTCATACTGACACACAGCCTGTTACCGGTGAGAGGGTTGGGTGGGGACGGGGCGGGGGGAGACGCTGGGAATTCCAAGGGGGTGCGTTCTGTCTCACCGGTAGACTATCCCTTCGCCGTGAAGGTGCTGGAGGCCACAACATATCTCAGCAGCGTAAAAGGCCACTCGGCTCTTCTCAAAGCCTGGGTTGCCCATCTTATAAATGTGGAACTTCAGGTCGCCTCCGTTCATCATGGTCAGCACAAGACACAGAGTCTGCTTCGTCTCAAAGGCGTAGGCCAGGCTGACCTGCAGAGGGGAAGAATATGAGGGGGAGTTAACGGAGAATGGGTCACTGGACCCCCGTGTCTGCTCCTCACTCCCAGACATCATTCGGGAATGACGGACAGAAACAATACTCACCAATCCCGGGAACACCCAGGGACTGACCCTCACCAACCCTGGGAACTTCCGGATACTGACCTGAACCAATCCCAGGAATATACGGATACCGGCCCTCGTCATTCCCAGGAATATCCCGATACTGATCCGAACCAATCCCGGGAATACGCAAGGGCTGACCCTTACCAATCCTGGGAAAACCCAGGGGCTGACCCTCACCAATCCCAGGAATATCCAGATACTGACTCTCACCAATCCCGGCAATTTCCAGACTCTGACCCTGACCAACCCCAAGAATATCCAGGGACTGACCCTCACCAATCCCGGGAATAGACGCTGACCCTCACCAATCCTAGGAATACCCAGAGACTGAGCCACACGATTCCCAGGAATAGAGCCTGACCCTCACCAATCCGGGGAATACCCAGACTCAGACAGTCACCAATCCCGGGAATTCCCAGAGACTGACCCTCACCAATCTGGGGAATACCCAGACAGACCTTCACCAATCCTTGGAATAGAGACCGACCCTCGCCAATCCCGGGAATCCCCAGGGACTGACCCTGCCCAATCCCTGGGAATAGCGGGATATTCACATCCCGAATGGGCACCTCCTGGTAGTCCGCATGTTCCCAGCACAGTCGATCGATCCCAGGGGCCCAGTACCCCCTCAGAAGCGAGAGACAGAGAGAGAGAGAGAGAGAGCAAGCCTCCAGGAAATTGTGTGCTTACCACAAATCTGCTGTTCACTTTCTCTAGAATTTGCTTCTCATTCAATGCCATGCTCTCGCCTTTCCGCTTCTTAATTCTCTTCTTCTCCAGCTTCTTACAGGCATACATCTTCCCGGTTGCTCGCACTTGGCAGGCACAGACCTGTGAGGGGGGTGGGGGTGCGCAGCAGGGAGATGAAGGGGGAAGGGTCAGCGAGACCTCAGTTCTAAAGGCCATGCCCTCAGGTCCTAGTCTCTCCTGCAACTGGAAACATCTTCTCCGCGCCCCTGCTATCCAGGCCTCTCAGTATTCTGCAAATTTCAATCAATCAATCAGATTCCCCCGATCATCCTCCTAAACGTCACAGAATGCAAACCCAGAGTCCTCCGCCGCTTCTCGTCCCTGGGGATTGTTCTTGGGAAACCTCCTCAAGGCCAGCTCATCCTTTCTTGGATACGGGGCCCAAAACCGCTCGCGATATTCCAGATGACCAGAGTCTAATACAGCCTCGGCAGTACACCCCTGCTCTTGTGTTCAAGCTCAGTAGAAATGAGAGCGAGGATTGCATTTGCCTTCCTAACCGCCAACTGAGACCGCATGTTAACCTTAGGTGGGGCACTTACCTCGCCAAAGCCTCCTTTCCCCAACACCCTGTACTGTCGGAAGGTGTCCCTAGTCACGGCCTGCCTGGAGAACAACGATAAAACAAGTGTGAGGAACAGCTCTCGATGTCACAGAGCCCAAACTGAACATTCCTCGCGCTGGGTGGCGATGAGGATCCAGGGTGGATTTCTGAACGTAAGGGGTCAGGGAGTGCCAATTCGGCCATGTCTGACGCCCGAGTGGGAGGGTTGGGAAACGAGACATGTTGCTGTCCCACCACCGCAACGTTTAACTCTACCCGTCAGTCCGGGAAACGTGTCAGGAGCCACTGTGGCATTCTGAAGACCCGTCGTGGCCCACCCAGTCGCAAATTCGAACACCCGAGCATGCCCTCTGCCCGTGCCCGGGTGGTCGGTATTTGGGGGGTGGGGGCAAAGGGTGTTCCAAAATGCCCTCCCCTACCCCCTCTGGCGCCCCTCTGAAATCTCCCTCAGGGGTCTGAGCGCCGCTGGTTCTGTCCCCCCAGTACCCGTGCGGAAGAGGCTTCGTTCTGACAGCGTGGCTCAGCGACGTTGTAGGCGGTAGCGGAATGCAGCAAGTGGAGTTGTTGTTGCATTTGCGGAGGGGGATGGCCTTGAAGGGAACTGGGCAGTTTGCCCCCACCTGGGCGCCACACCCCTGCCCCCGCACCCCCCCCCCCGCCCCCCCCCCCCCCCCAAGGGCATGACCCTGCAGGGCAGACCACTGGTTTCAGAGTCGAACTGCGCGTCCCAACTGCGAAAGGGAGCTCACCTTTCCAACCATTTCCACTGGAGGAAGCGATCAAAATACATACTCTCCTGAAATTCAGAGAACGGGGACCCACTGAGGAACTGGTGTGAGACCCTGCCCCGAACAAAACAAAAACAAAAAAAAAATAAATCGACATTTCGAACGTGGGTAAGGGGCCCAGCGACAATCGCCCGAGACAGAGAGTTACTGCACCTCACACTCTCTCTCTCTCTCACTTCAGGACACCTTGCAAGAGTGCCAAATCCGAGTGACGGGGAGGAAAGGTAAGTGGGAAGCAAAGAGGGCAAGGGCCTGCCACAAATCAATGGGTGACACCCCACCCCTGGGCATCACACCACTGACTCCCCCCCCACCCACCAAGAGCGTGACCCTGCGGGCACCCCACTGGCTCGAACCGGGCGTCAGACACTGCCTGGCACACCATGACCACTCACGGTTGGTTTTGGCGGGGGGGAGCGATCTCCTCAGACACTTGCCGACATTCACTCACCTCAAACATTCAGCGAAGAGATCTTTGCCGAGCCTTCCTCCCAAGCTCTCCAGGCACTGCCGGGCGTGGCACTCCGTAATTCCTGGCACATACTCCGCCGACTGTGAGGATGGAGAAGGGAACAGACTGAGGGGGCGGACTCCTCAATAAAAACCATCGTTCCCAACCCCCCCACAGCACAGGTCCTCACACAGAGGGGACAGTACGGAGGTGGGGTAGCGAAGGGCAGAACATTCCCTCAGCACTGACCCTCCGACAGCGCGGCGCTCCCTCAGCACTGACCCTCCGACAGCGCGGCGCTCCCTCAGCACTGACCCTCCGACAGCGCGGCGCTCCCTCAGCACTGACCCTCGGACAGCGCGGCGCTCCCTCAGCACTGACCCTCCGACAGCGCGGCGCTCCCTCAGCACTGACCCTCCGACAGCACAGTGCTCCCTCAGCACTGACCCCCCGATATTGCTATCACTTGGTTAACCTGTGCCAACAAAAAACCTTTTCCCGTTTTGAGAGTTTATCCAGGATGTGGGAATGGAATGACCTCAAATGCCATTCCCTGTAGGATCGGGTGTCTCCCACCCCATAGGCACTGGGAGCTGCCTTTCAGTCAGGAACGTTGTTGGGTACACTGGGAGGCAGGAAGTTGGAATTTGGAGTTTGTAAAGTGCCTGGGGGAAAGAATTGTGTGGTCCCTTTAAAAGATTGTGTGCTTTTTCTGCGCTTAGAGCGTGCATGGTGAAAGGACGGCGCCCCTTGTGGGAGATACTGGGAGCTGCGGACACCGGTTCACATTAATTCTCTTCTCTTGGTCAGGGAGGGAGTTGGGGTGGCGTAGTCTTGAATCTGTGGGACACAAGGACAGCAGAGTGGGAGGGATTCCCAAGTAATGAAGATTGTGAAATCCAAGGGAACGCGGGGCTGAACCAGATCAGCCAGTGGGATAGCATTCTTGATGGGCTGAATTGCCCATCCCTGGGGCTGACTTGACACACCTCTCCGTTTCTTCCCGGGATCGGAGCAGTTCTGCCGCCTCCCGAAACAGAACAGCTGGACATGGGCCCCCTCCCGGGGTGCCACATCGCTGGAGGTAGCTGGGGACTCAGGCTCAGCGTTCAAGAGGGACATTCGCCCCATCTTTCAGACAGCCCCTACCCTGCCTAGAGTCGGCGCCCGCTGGCACGGAGAGACGTGCCTACCTCCCTCCCCCCTCACCATTCCATACCCCCTTGGTTAGAAACCTCCGGATGACCTCTTCCGCCATCTCCGTCCTCTTCTCGTCGGGAGCCAGCTCATACTCTGCCTGGAAGGGGGAACAGACACAGACAGAGGTCACCTCTCTTCCCCAGTTCGCTCTCTCTCTCCTTCCTTTCTCCACCATGTGGGCATCGCTGGCCGCCAGCCTCTGGTGCCCGCCCCCGAGCGAAGCCAGCACGGGTCTGGAGTTACGTGGAGCCCAGGGCTGCCAGGGATGGGCTAAGAACAGCACTCAGCCTCCCTTGAGAAAGGTAGGACGTTCCGAGTGAGCGCAGCCCAGTGGTACAGAGATGTCCATCAGGCCATTCAGCCCCTTGAGCCTGCTACCCCTTCAGTAAGATCAGTGTTCTTTCACACAAATCCACATTCCAGCCTCCAACCTCTCACTCCCCCTTGGTTTGGGAAGAATCTCCCCGTCTCTGCCATAAAAAACAATTCAGGGAGACCGCACCCCCAACTTTCATCATTCCAAATGGCTCCGAACCTTTCATGTTTCAATTCAGTCTCCTCTGAGACTTCTAAACCCAAGCGGATAACTTTCCTCCAAAGGGAACCCACTCTTTCCGGGTATTAGCCTGGAAATCCTTCTCTGAGCAAAAGTCACAAAGGGAGAGCAGCCATTGAGGAGGTCACACTAAGTGTTAATAGCTGAAAGTGGGTCAAGCTTCGCTCGGACCCAACTTGTGCAAGCGACAGGGGCCTTAAAGCAGCGTACGTGCCTCAAACCCTTGGAATTGCAGAACCATCATGGCACAGAGAAGGCCATTCTGGCCATCGACTCCATGCTGGCCTGCCTCAGGAGCTTTTCGACATGGCCCTTCCCCTTTGCCCTATCCTCAATCCTCCTCGATTCATCACGTTTTAATTCATTCGTACAATTCATACGACTCAGCCAAAGAAGAATTAGGCCCCTTCTGCCCATCGGGCCTGTGCGAGCCCAAATCGAACAGCCCAGCCCCTCACTGCAGTTTTAAGGCAGCCGGGTCTGGGCATTGTCAGGGGCCTACTTTCTTTGGGAATGAATCGAAGGTTAGTGCCTCACCCCCAAATAACTCTGCGGGCCAAATCCTGACCTCCCCTTCAATCGCTCGGCCATCACTCGAGATTCCCCGCCACCCTCCCCCTGGCCCAGTCAGCGCACTCTCTGCTCAGGGAGATAGCCCCTTCCTCCCAATGTTGTCCCTCTCCAACAGCGTTCCCAGCAGTTTCTCTGCTACCTCCCTCCCAAACTGGCAATTCTCCCGCCAATGGCAACGCCCCTGTAAAGCCATGCCCCAACGCCGTGCTCGGTGTTTTCCACAACCTCTCTGCTCTACTTCGGCAACGAAAAACCACTGGAATCTTCTTGACCCCCATCCCAAACCCCACGGGACCCGAGGCTGCTCCCTCAACTTTGCTACCGCTTCTCACAAGGATTCCCTACAGTGCAGGACGAGGCCATCCAGCCCAGGCCTCGACCCTCCGAAGGAGGCCCCACGCCTCGTCTGTGTAGCCCTGCATTTCCCACGGTCTCCCACCCCGACCCGACCCAGCCTGCACGACGCTACGGCTGGGGGGGAATTTAGCACACCCGATCCACCCTAACGTCTTTGGATTGTGGGAGCGCCCGGAGGGAAACCCGCGCAAGAGAGAGAGCTCCACGCGGGCGGACGGTCGGCCCGAGGGCCTCGGGATCGAAGCCGTGGCGCCGCGGGCCACCGTGCCCGCGCCCAGCTTCCTCCCGACGACCGGGGAGGCTGCAAACCACCGCGTGGCGCACCCCCAACAATCCAATACCAGCCGGTGCCAAGCTCACGTTTCCTCCGACGGCGGTTGGTGGGGGGGGAGAGACGTTGACGTTGGGGTTGGGGTAGGGGGAGAGACGTTGACGTTGGCGTTGGGGTAGTGGGGAGAGACGTTGACGTTGGGGTTGGGGGGGGGGGGGGGGAGGGAGGTGGGGGTGGGGGGGGGGCGCGGTGCCCGCGCGCGAGGGCTCGGACTTACCGCGCAGTTGAGGAATCCGATGCAGTGCCTGAGCGGGGGGAGCGTGCGGCAGAACTGGAAGAAGAGTTCCCGGCCGATGGGCTGTTTGTCACACAGGCTGGAGTAATCCCGTTCTGAAAGGCCGAGAGAGAGAGAGAGAGAGACAGGATTGGCATGGCGTCCCGGGACAAATAAAACCACACAAACGCTGAGCGGACCCCCCCCCCCCCCCAACCACAAAACAGACCCCCCACGGGCCCCCCCCCCCCGACGCGCGTGCCAGCAAAACATGGCATCCTCCCTTTTCTGATGAAGGGTCTAGGCCCGAAACGTCAGCCTCTCTGCTCCTCTGACGCTGCTTGGCCCGCTGTGTTCGTCCAGCCCTGCACCTTGTTGTGTCGGATTCTCCAGCATCTGCGGTGCCCACTGTCCCTGATCCTCCCACCATCTCGATCCGGCCGCTACGCCCGAGAAACAGTCGGGAGTGAGTTGGCGCAGAATTCCAGTGCCCCCAGTTGGATCATGGGGCAAAGTTCTGGGGGTGGTGGGAGGGGGGGGGGGGGTTTCGGGCCCTGAGCAAGGGTTTCCTCTCCCGGGAAGGGTCAGCACAGGCCGAGCGGCCTTCCGCGGGGTGGTGGGGGGGCACTCTGAGAGCCGGGTTGGAAATCACTACCGACCGTCGCGGAGACAAGATGGACAGCCTCACGAGATTTCTCTGATGCTCACGGGGCGTTGGGGGGTCGCTGGCCGGGCCCAGCATTTATTGCCCCGTTTCCACACCCCCCCCCCTCAATTGCCTGAACCGCTGCAGTCCGTGTGGCGTAGGGACCCCCACACGGTGCCCTCAGGGAAGGAGTTCTGTCCCAGCGGCACTGAAGGAACGGCCGATATACTTCCCAAGTCGGGGACGGTGAGGGGTTCGGAGGGTGAACTTGCAGGGGGTGCTGTTCCCATGTACCTGCTGCCCCTTGTCCTTCTGGATGGAAGTGGGTCGTGGGTTTGGAAGATGCTGCCTGAGGGGCCTCGGTGAGTTGCTGCAGTGCATCTTGTAGATGGTACACGCTGCTGTTACTGAGCGTCGGTGGTGGGGGGGGGAGTGGGATGTTTGTGGATGTGGGGCCAATCGAGCAGGGGGCTGCTTTGTCCCTGGATGATGTCGAGCTTCTCGAGTGTCGTTGGAGCTGCCCCCATCCGGGGCAAGTGGAGGGTATTCCATCGCACTCCTGACTTGTGCCTTGTCGATGGTGGGACAGGCGTTGGGGGGGAGTCAGGAGGGGAGTTACTCGCTGCAGGATTCCCAGCCTCTGACCTGCTCATGTAGCCGCTGTGTTTATGTAGGGCTGATCTAATTCAGTTTCTGGTCAATGGTAACCCCCAGGATGTTGACAGTGGGGGATTTAGTGATGGTAACACCATTGAATGTCAAGGGGGCGATGGCTGGATTCTCTCTCTCTTGGAGATGGGTGTAGCCTGGCATTTGTGTGGCACGAATGTTACTTGCCACTTATCAGCCCGAGCCTGAATATTGTCCATATCTTGTTGCGTTTGAACAAGTATCTGAGGAGTCACGAATGGTACTGAACATTGTGCAATGATCGGCAACCATCCCCACTTCTGACCTTATGAGGGAGAGGATAAGCTGAAGATAGTTATCCTTTGTGAAAGGTAACCTTCCTCGCCATGCAGAACAAAGAGTTTATTCAATTTTTCTTCTTGAATCGCAGTCACCAGAAAAACAAAGGCATCTGGGGACAAACAAACATTCTGACCAGGTAGGAAAAGAGTCAGATATGATGCCTATGAAACGGAAAATTCCAAAGCTTTGGAGAATTCTTTTAAGCCCTGAATCAGGTGGAACGTGAGCCCCACACAAGATATCATGATAAAACAGCCAGGAATTCATTAGGACTCACTTCACGTAAGATGAAGCATTGTCAGGCATGACCAGGGGGCAGACAGCTGAAAACATCCGCTCCCCACTTCAATCCGAATGCTCACAGACTGGGGCCCAGAGCCAGTCCTATTAAAAAAGATTTGTTAAAATGTGTGCCTTCCCAATGCCTGGGCATTTCTGGGGCAGGCACTGTGAAGCCTGGCAGTGGAATGGTATCCCATTCCCCGGGCAGTGTCACACAACGCTCCAGCTTTGGTGAGTGTGTGCCAGGGTGGGGACAGGTACAGACTGTGAGAATGGGCTGGGCATTGAACTGATAATCAATGGCGTAAAAGGCAGAGAGAGAGGGTTATGGGGGGGCGGGGGGAGAGAGAGAGAAAGGGGGAGAGAGACAGAGAGAGAGAGCGGGCGACACCCACATCCCCGTGACCCAATCACAAGCTGAGTTTGACACTTTGGGAAGGACAGGTAGTAAATGTTGAGGTTGCAGAAACGATTGATCAGAATGTTTGTGGGGAACAGACACTGCAGTTCCCTGGAGCAGGCGGGTTGGAAAGGCAATGTTATCAATCTCATGTTCGTGCTGGTGGAAGGGCTGTTCTGTGCACACCGGGTCGGGATTGGGAATAAACTGTGGTGGAAGTCAGTTGCTTCGAGGAAGAGAACTGGACGTTTCCCTGAAGATTAACAGAGCTATGCGGGGTGTGGGGGAAGACAGAACAGTGGGTCTTGTTGAGTTTTGAGTGTTATTGGAACTGCCCCCATCCGGGGCAAGTGGGGAGTATTCCATCATGCTCCTGCCTTGTGTCTTGTCGATGGTGGGACAGGCTTTGGAGTGGGGGCAGTAGGGGGGGAGACAGAAGGGGAGTTACTTGCCTGTTGCTTTTCCCCAGAGGGCCAGCACAAATGGGCAGAGTGGCCTTTTTTGTGACTCTGACCCGGGACTGACCGGCACTTGGCTCTCGCTCTCCCCAGGTTACCATCTGCAAATTTTACCCTCCCCAGCCCCCCACCTCCGACTCTGATCCGAAGTGATGTGGCGCCAGGTCAAGACTCCGCCCTGGGGATTGGCAAAGGAGCGGTGGGTTTCCTGCGGCAACTCTGGGAATTCCATCCGGACCCGAGAAAGGAAATCTTTCTGAATTGCAAAGGCAGATCTCAGGAAGAGGGCGGGAACCATATCCGGTTTGATACCATCGCTGGCTCGTGTCCTCAGGGCAGATCCTTTTCCGAGCTGCGGGGGTTGTGGGGGCCGCAGCTCCGATGCCAACTTCCAACCCCCGCTCCGCTGTCTGCAAGTTCGCCAAGCGCACCACTGTCGTAGGTCGGATCTCAAACAATAACGAGGCAGCCTCCAGGAAAGGAGACTTAGTGACGTGCTGTAAATCTCTCCCTCGGTATCAAACATAAAAACATCAAGGAGCTAGGCCGTTGGCTTCGGGAAGCAGAGTGGAGCTGGCACACCGATTGTCTGCATCGATAGAGCTGACGTGGAGATGGTTGAGAGGATCCAGTTCCTCTGTCCTGGTCCACCCACGTTGACGTGATGATCGAGACAGCGCAGCAACATCTCAACTTCCTCAGGAGGCTGAGGGAATTCGGCCTGTCCTCAAGGACCCCGAACAATTTTTACAGATGCACCACAGAAAGCATCCCATTGGCAACTGCTCTGCCCAAGACCCCAAGGAACTACAGAGGGCCGTGAACACAGCCCAGTCCATCACTCAAACCATCTATTGACTCCATCTATACTTCCCACTGTACTCATAAACCCCTCCCAACACCGCCCCTCCCTCGGTCATACTCTCTTCCAGCCTCTTCCATCGGGCAGAAGACACAAAAGAGACAGAGAGAGAAAGTGGGGGGAGAGAGACAGAGAGAGAGAAGGGGGGAGCGAGCGAGAGAGAGGGGAGCAAGCGAGAGCGGGGGGGGGGAGGGGGGGGAGGGGGGGAGCGAGCACGGGGGGGGAGCAACAGATGCCCATTTGTCTTGGCACTGTTGGCATATGTGCGGCTGGTTTGAGGAGAGTGCACATGCACCCTCATCTCTGGGCCCCTGGGATGGGGGTCGAAACTATTCTTGCCATGCACCCTCATCTCTGGGCCCCTGGGATGGGGGTCGAAACTATTCTTGCCAGATGTGCACTCTCCTCAAACCAACCACACATATGCCAACGGTGCCATGTGGTGTGTGGTGCCTTCAGCTGTGCCAACCCCCCCCTCCCCAGTGGCTCCTCCACATCAGCTGAACCGGCTCTGCGATGCCAACACGCGACCGAGTGGGGCTGCCCAGACTGAGTTCGTCATTTGTCCCCCACAACTTAGATGCTGAACCTGAATGTGCGGGCATCACGTTTGCGGGGGACATGAGAGGCGGGAAGTTCAGGACCACACTGAGGCTCAGCCAGAGGGCAAACAAACCTGGAACACGGCATAGAAGGCTCTGCACTTTGGCAGGAAGAACAGAGGAGCTGAATATCATTTAAATGGAGAAAGCTGCAGCCGAGAGAGTTGAGAATCACCAGGCAGGGATCCATAAGAACCCAAGTTCACAAGGTCATAGGGAAGGCAAGTGGAATGTTGGCCTTTCCTTCGAAGGGAATGGAATTTTTTTAAAAAAAGTGAGATTTTGCTAAAAATATACAAGGCACGAGTCAGACAACTAGTGGTAGATGGAGTTTAATTTGAATAAATGTGAGGTATGCACGTTGGTAAAACACACAAAGGCGAGAGTTATACAATTAATGGTAGGGCCTTGGGTAGTGCTGTAGAACAGAGAGATCTAGGGGTTCAGGTGCATAATTCTTTGAGGGCTGTGTCACATGTTGACAGGTCAAGAAGGCGTTTAGCACACTTGCCTTCATTGCTCAGTCTTTTGAGGATAGGAGTTGGGACGTTACACATTGAGGTTGTACAGGACGTTGGTGAGGCCTCTTCTGGAGCACTGTGTCCAGTTCTGACCGCCTTGTTACAGGAGGGATATTATTCAGCTGGAGAGGGTTCGGAAGTGATTTACCAGGATGTTGCCGGGAATGGAGGGTTTGAGTTATCAGGATAGGCTGGGACTTTTTTCACTGGAGCGTAGGAGTTCGAGGGTTGACCTCAATGAAAATTGTGAGGGGTATAGACAAGGTGAATGGCAGGTGTATTTCCCCTGGGGTGGTGGGAACACAACACTCTCGCAACGGCATTGCCTCGCAATCACGGACAGAAATCGGCGTGCAAAGAAATTACACCTGAGGTAGCTTTCCGAAGACAAGCCCCCCCTCCACCACCACCCCCCACCCCCCCCGGCCCCAGGCCTGGGCCCACCCCCAACCCCCGCCCACCAGGCTTGGCAGCGTGCACTCACCCAATGTCCTCCGCAGCTCTTCACACTGACTGATATGGGGGAAGCGCAAGATGTCCTTCCACCTCTTGCTCCGTCCTTTGCGCTTGCCAGAGCCCCCTGGGGATGGAAAAGCAGGTAGCAGTTAGGTCGGGACACATGGCCTTCCATGGGGGATGGAGCTGGAGTCGGGAAGGAGTGGCATCGCACAGAGCAGATAGACTGCACAGGCCTAATTCCCCAATTCAGAGGGTGGACGGTCACATCAGCATCACACCGGGACGTGGTAACCTAGTGACCAAGCATTGGGCTCAGTGTCAGCTCTGAGGGGGCCACAAGGAGACAAGCTCCATGAACATGGGCCAGAGGGAACGTCTCCACCCAAGGATACTGTGACAGGAGAGATTTCGCCAACTTACCTCATTTTCACACCCAGGTTGTGACTACTCATTGCAAGTAATTCGACTCAAGCAACGGGGCAAAAGCTGTCAGAATGTAACATGAGGAATTAAGTCACTCATCCTGGGAAAACTGCATCTTGTACACAGACTGATGCACAGCCAGACCGAAAGGGAACACGGGGGCGAAAAATTGCAAAGGCAGATCAGCGTAACTGGTTTCCGGAAGATTCCACTAGTTTGCAAGAGGCTCAGGGCATCCAGTTCACTTCAAGAAGGTCTCAGGCATATGAAGGAGGACTCACAGCTTACAACAGCTGAAGGGAAGAAAAGCCAGTTTTCTTCCTGTTTCAAGAGGGCTTTGACTGCGGAGAACAGAGAGACAGCTCCTCAGCTCAGGCCGCCCACTTATCCAGACAGAAAAAAAAGACACTCGGGACCAAAGTTTTGATTTTGACCACCAGCAAAGTTTGATACTCCTTTCATATGGATGAGGCAAATGCAATGTAGGAGCTGGGACAATCTGTGGAAGTGGCCTGTCCCTTTAAGCCTATTGATATGATCGCAGCGACACAGCAACGTTATACTTTTATGGACGGTGTCAGGGAAATTGTACAGAAAACATTTGGAAATCTCTGCTCTCTGATCGGAAGAAGTGAGGCACTTCATTTGGAAATGGACGGGGGGAGGGGGTGACAGTTGTGCAGACACAGGGAGATAAACTGGTCCCAAATTTTGGGAGATAGTAGGAACTGCAGATGCTGGAGAATCTGAGATAACAAGGTGTAGAGCTGGATGAACACAGCAGGCCAAGCAGCATCAGAGGAGCAGGAAGGCTGACGTTTCGGGCCTAGACCCTTCTTTAGAAATGAAGAAGGGCTTCTCCCACACTGTAGGAATCCTATGACTGGGATGGCACAGTGAGAATGGTACGCACTGTGTGCGCGGCAGGAGCTGTGAGTATAGGATTACTCCAGTGCACCAGGGTACAACACCCTCTGACACATTCCGGGACACATTAGCATTTAGGAGAGGGATAAAAGACCATAAATTGCCCAATTAAGGATTAAAGGCCTTTAAAATACTGCTGTCTTCGTAAAAAGCACAAACATTTGACGCCAAGTCTTGGCTGCACCCGAATTGCCCCTCAAAAGGGGAGCCTTCCTCTGGTCATTCCAGAGGGCGGTGAGGAGCCAAGTTGTGAGTCTGGAGTCACGTGTAGGTTTTGATGACAGATTTCGTTCGCCTAAGGACACAAACAAACCAGATTGCAGCTTCTCTTGCAACGATCATCACTACGACGCAGCCTAATTGTCAATTCCAGATTCCTGGCAGTGAGTTTAAACAGGCCGTTCAGTCCCTCAATCCTGCTCGATCACTCGATAAGATCTGTTCATATTCTGAGCCCCACACTCCCGTCTCGACACCCTCCAATAACTCTTCGGGTCTGCCAGCCCGTCAGGAATATATCCCCCTCCTGCCCCGTGAGGCACAAGGCAGATCCAAACTCTCTGGCCGCCCTCTGCTCGCCGGAGCCCACCGAATCTTCCTGAGGGCCTGCAGGACTCTGCCACGGTGAGCGCTGGGCCTGGCGCACCCAGCCTGTGGGTGATGCCACACACTGAGGTGTCTGCTCCATCCAGCTCCTGCTCATGCATTGGTCAAGTGCCTTGGAAAACCCACCGCTCCCATTGACGGGGCCTAAACCAACAGGCTTCTGTCCAACACCTCACTGAAGGCATTGGCGTCGGAGGTGAGGGGTTGGTGGTGGGGGTGGTCAGTCAGACAGACTGCCCACTTCGGACTCCCGAAGCTGAGTTACTCTCCCCGTCTGCTGGCACCAGCAGCCTCCCAAAGTAGGCCCCACAGGGGACCAGCAGCCTCCCACAGTAGGCCCCACAGGGGACCGGTAGCCTCCTACAGTAGGCTCCACAGGGGACCGGCAGCCTCCCACAGTAGGCCCCACAGGCCCAGGGGACTGGCAGCCTCCCACAGTAGGCCCCACGGGGCCAGGGGACCAGCAGCCTCCCACAGTAGGCCCCACAGGGGACCGGCAGCCTCCCACAGTAGGCCCCACGGGGCCAAGGGACCGGCAGCCTCCCATAGCCAGCCTGAGAGCCAGGGGTTCAGATTGAGCTCGCGTCCAGCACAAACCCACTTCCTCACTGAGCATCTCTCAGGAAATGCACTTTCTCCAAAGTTGGCTCAAACAAGATGGGGCTGGGTTTCCCACGGCCGGGGAGGGGAGCAGAAGGGCTTTCTGCCTGGTGTTCGTTCTCCATCAGCAACCAGCCCGTCTGTGTGTGTGTGTGTCTATCTGTCTGCCTGTGTGTATGTGTCTGTATGTGTCTGTCCGCCTGTGTGTGTCTGTCCACCTGTGTGTGTATACATGTATGTCAGCCTGTGTGTCTGTATGTGGCTGTCCGCCTTTGTGTGTGTGTGTCTGTATGTGTCTGTCTGCCTTTGTGTCTGTGTGTGTGTGCGCGCGCGTCTGTCCGCCTGTGTGTGTGTATGTGTCCGCCTGTGTGTGTGTCTGTATGCGCATGTCAGTGTGTGTCTGTCCGTCTGGGTCTGAGTGTGTCTGTCTTTCTGTCTGTGCGTGTGCCAGTGTGTGTCTGTGTGAGCATGTTTGCCTGTGTGCGTGGGTCTGTCTGTCCATCTATGTGTGTGTGTGCGTGCGCGCATCCATCTGTCTGTATGTCCAACCATCTGTCTGTATGCCCGAGTCTGTGCACGTCTCCCTGTGCGTGTGGAGGTCATTCAGCCAATGCCAATCTGCTGCCTCTCCCCCATATCCCAATAGCCATCCAGTTCCCCAGCTGAACCTTCCTCCACCACATTCCCAGGCACTGCATTCCGGTCCCGAATACTCCCTGGGTGCCTCTTTACCCCTCAGCCTCGCTTTGTTTTCACATCACCTTAAATCTATTCCCCTCTCGTTCTTGCTCCTTTTTTCGGGCAGGAACAGCTTCTCCCTATCCCAGCCTGCTCCTGAAAGCCTCCGCCAGCTCTCGGCCTGGCACAGCAGCTGGTGTTTGGTTGCCCAGGGCAGACGCAGCCACGTGATCGCGGAGAACAGGACAGCACACCAGGGCGGAAACAGAGAAGCGGGGATAGTAGGAACTGCAGATGCTGGAGAATCTGAGATAACAAGGTGTAGAGCTGGATGAACACAGCAGGCCAAGCAGCATCAGAGGAGCAGGAAGGCTGATGTTTCGGGCCTA